GGCAGGACTGCAGGGCGGCTGTGTTGCTGATGGTCAGCGTGGAGCACTTGGCTGCCCTGCTCGGGAGCCCTTTCTTTTTGAGTTCGGAGGTCAAGTTGAGGTAATAAATGTCTTCCAGGGACTTGTCGTTCTTCCTGAGGATGTTGCTGGCCAAGCGGAAGAGGAAGACCACCGCGTAGATGCCGAAGATGGTGAGGATGTACCAGGCGGCGCTGGTGCCGTCCGGGAGCCGCAGGGCCCTGGGGGGGCTGCTACTGTTCCTCCCCTCCGCCGAGTCCAGACAGAGAGACCCAGGTGAGACCAGCATCCAGGGCCGGGGGCTGCCTGGCCACCAGGCCAGTGCCGGGAGGTCGTCTTGTCGGCGGGAAGCCCGGGACTGCGTGGGAGCCTCCTGCTCAATGGGCAGGAGCCTGACAACACGTCCACGCGGTTTTCAAGATCAAAGAGTTCAGAACCCCAAGCTGTGGGACAGGAGACGAAACATCATAAAGATGCCAACCGTCCCTGAAGTAACCTGCACAAGTAGCACCATCGCAATGAGAATGCCCGGAGAATTGCTTTGGGAGCTAGACAGACGGCACATGGAAAAGTGAGCTGTCGAGGCTAACTGGAAAGAAGGTGGGGAAACCGTGCTGGGTGGGAATCGGCCTCCCCGGAACATCAGGCCAGCCAGGCAGGACAGCAGTTCGCCTTTTTCGGGAGAATGAGCCTTGTGCCTGCCCACAGCCCACGGCGGCTCCCTGGGCGGTGCAGAGGGTGTGCAGGGCGCTGGAGGGCCCGGCCCAACGCTCCCTAAACAGCCTCCCCGAAACACACAGCAGCTGGAGCCGTGGGAGGCTGGGCTCAGACGGAGACCAATGGGCCCGAGCTGACGCCCCCGGAGGCAGCGCTGGGGTCTGTGGGTGACAAAGGGCCGTCCCTGCCCCGCGAGGGAAGGGGATCACTCGGGAGCAACGGGCCCTGGGCCACGTCGCCCACGTCCTGTCCACCAGTGCAGAGAAGTCAGCGGTGACAGCATGAAAAGAAGCCATTCAGCCCTGGCCAGTGTGGCTCAGTGGATAGAGCGTCGGCCTGCAGACTGAAGGGTCTCGGGTTCGATTCCGGTCAAGGGCATGTACCTTGGTTGCGGGCACATCCCAGTGGGAGGTGTGCAGGAGGCAGCTGATCGATGTTTCTCTCTCATCGATGTTTCTAACTCTCTGTCTCTCTCCCTTCCTCTCTGTAAAAAATCAATAAAAAATATATATTAAAAAAAATAAGCCATTTAAAAAGCGCTAGAGAAAAGCAGGGTAGATGGTCCCTTTATCATCTCCGAGTGGGACATCCCTCCTAAACATAACCCAAAACTCAGAAGGGGAGAAAAGCAGACAAAAGAAAATGAATGTTAATTCAGCTAATAGAAGAATGTTGTTTCTGCTTACTATTAAACCAAGAACAACAACAAATGAGAAAATTTACAATTTATACCACTGAGTTTCTCTTCATAGCTTCCGGTTCCAGAAGAAAAAGCCCAAAATGCCAGTAGAAAAAAATATGCTAAGGATACAGACAATTAAGTTATAGAACATGCAAAAGGCTTCTCACTATTACTCACAACAAGAAAAATGCAAGTCAGAAGTACAAAAAAATAATGTTTTGTTACCTATCGGCTGCAAATGCAGCTTCAGAACGCACTGTGGGTGTGTTTGCGTGGCTGCTGTGAGGTGAAATCACACGCCCAGCCTGCAGGGCACGGCGACAGCACCGTCACTCACCTCTGACCCGGCCTCCCCCTGCGGGAACGCATCCTGTGGCCCCGCGGGGGCCTGGTGGGAGCAGTGCGTGTGTGAGGTAGTCCCTGCTGCTGCCCGCGAACAGCCTGAACAGCACGGCCTTCTGACAGTGCAGTGCATTCTGGGACCCCGAGCAGTGGAGTACTATGCAGCCACGAAAATCAATAAGAGCGTTTTTGGTACATGATATTAATAAAAAAAAGTAACCCAAGTGTGACATAATGTGCAATCATGCGTGTAAATGAAGGGGGGATGTGTTATCTGCTTGAAGCTTTCACATACATATGTGAAATATAAATATATATGGGATATAAATATATATATGAAATACAAATATATATGAAATATAAATATATGTGAAATATAATATATATGAAATGTAAATATCTCTAGGAGAATAGGCCGAGTCGGGACCCGCGGTGCCCACGGGAGGAATGGGGGGGAGATGGCTTTGCCCGGACGCCCTCTAGTACATCGTGTACTGTGTGCATTTATTTTCACAAAGAAATGGCTTTAAACCCGCAGAGCCCCAGCAGGCGCTGTCCGGCCGGGCGCAGCGCCCTTCCCAGGCCAGGAGATTAGCATCTAAACTGCTGTTTAACCCAAAACTGTTTTCGCTCCCAGGAGCCGCGAGCAGGAAGAGCGCATCGAGGAGCAGTGAGGAACGGAGGCCTCCCTGGAGCATTCCCGGCCGAGTCCCGTGTCAGGCGCCTCGTGAGCACAGATGGAGTCAGACCGTGTCACAGCGTGAGCCCGGGGCCCGCTGCGGGGGCACCGAAGGCTCCATAATGCTTCTATGCGATGTTGTTGCTAATTCATTTCGCTGATGCAAGATTCAGAGAGGCTGGTATCTTTTACGGGAGTTATTGTCAGAACGCGTGAATAACCTTAATACATGTATGTATGTATGTATGTATTTTTTATTCTATTGTCTTTTATCCCCTCTGTGCCCTCCCCCCCTTCACCCATCCCCCTCCACGCCCGCAACCACCGCACTATTGTCCCTGTCCACCAATTCCCTCTATTTTTTCTGTTTTGCTCAATCGCTTCACCACCACCTCCCCACCCCCCAGGCTGGCAGCTGCTCTCTCTGAGTTGGTCTCTATTTTGCTTGGTAGTTCAGTTCATTAAGTTCCACATGGACCAGTAACCTGAGTGCTTTCAGATGAAGGAGAAACCAGTTAAAAATAAACTCTGCTCACCAATTTGGCAACGCCCGAATGAGCAGACTTAAGTCGGTCACTCGTGAGAAACACCACCACCCTCAGGAATTCCACACCACAGCTGGTGGAACGCTCGCGAACTTTAGAAAGGGGAAAGGCCCATAATTATTTTAAAAAGCAACTCAACCAGCCAGGAACATCCTGAACTTAATTAGGGCAAGAGGACTTGTTTAAACGCGGAACACGCGGATGAGCTCATAGAACGTTCTGGAATTGTTTCGGAATGATGCCACATGTGCAAACACATATAAAAACACCCAACTGAAAACTACACACAGGAACTCACTTGGAAACGGGCTATTTCCCACATGAACAAAGCTCAGCCTGTTACTCAGCGAAGCACGCTGCTCTTTACCTCCTTCCTGAGGACAGCAGGGTGGGCTGGGTGGCTTCTGTGGGTAAACGTCCTGCAGAAGAAACAAACCTTCCACCTGCGGCGTCCGCACGTGTGCGGATGTGAAATGTACAAGTGACGCCGGGGCGGCCACGCTGGCGGCGGGAGAACACTCACCCTCCATGCGGGAGCGCCTCTTCAGTGGGCGCCGTGCCCCTGAGGGCAGACGGCCGGGCAGCACCCGACAGAGACTGCAGCAAGGAGCTGGGTGAGTTGCCGCTCATTCAGTTACTCAGAGAACTGAGGGTCTGTCTCCTGTTGGCGCCTCCTGCTCTGGCTCCTGGGGACGGTCTGGAGCGAAGGAGCTGTTGGAGCCCATGCTGGTCCCAAGGGTTGTCCAGCCCTCCCGTCGCCTCCAGCCCTCCCATCCCCTGCAGCCCGCGGGGCGGGCCTCTCCTGCCGCTGGCTCCCGCCCT